CTCTCACCAGTCCTTCTCTGTTTGTAAACAAGGAGTTGTATTTTTCAGAGTTATAAAAATAGGGACCATGTTGCTATCACTTGCCATAGTAATAACAAAGAACATCTGTGGCTTATCTGATCACAGTTAAAAGAAAATTCTCTAGAGAGCAGAGAAGGTGTTTTTTATGACAGGTAAGTTGTTATCAGTTATTACAGCAAAGAATAGTCCTAATTTTTGAAATTCAATATCAAGATATCAAAGAACTAAACCCTCCTGCTACAGGCCATAAACCATGTTCTAACTAATAGGGCTTAAATAATATTTTTTTCTGGATTAATTTTAATAGGGAGCTAATTCAGATAATCTGGCAGTGAGCCACTGTCTAAGGAAAGGTGCTGAAAGATGCACTAGTTTGCCCCTGAAATGGTCATTCTGATCATTCTGTAAATTTATTTGTGTTTAAAAAGAACAGTAATTTCACACACTAAGCACAGGCACCACACACAAATGCAGACAAAAAGAGTACATACAAATTTAAGGCATGCTTGACTTTTTTATGTTATATGGAGAATGCAATGAAAACGCTTGCACTTGGCAGTGCCCAAGACTGGAAAAACTGGACCAAGTCATATGTTTTCTACTGGATTGATAAAAAAAGTGATTGTAGAGATATGGGGTATGATTCATCTAATCCAAATGAAGATTTCTACATCTGAGTTTCCCTAGGCTTCCTTTATAGTTGAGAGCTAGGTATTTTTAGGATGGACTTCACCTGGCCTGTGCTAGACATCTACATCTGATCGGCTGAATGCACCCCAGAGCCATACGGGATGCTCTTGAAGCTCACCAGGTCTTGGAGGATGCAGAACTGTCGTCCTGCTGAGAGAGGGCTCCCACTGTTTCTTGCTGCACAGCAGAAGAAACAGCTATTTTAAGTCATGAAAATCCTAGACTACTTTTTCTCAGACTCTGGGCCAGGATCAAGAGGGAGGCCAGGAGACAATTCAGGGCAGCAAGCAGCAGCATTAGGCATCATCTCCTTTCCTTCCCCTTGGAAGAATGGTAATGGATTACAGTTACCCCTTGCAATAATTTGTATTAGTCAGGGAAGCAGCTAATTACCTTTGATTGCTGGCAACACTCATTTCTTCCAGGGCAAGACAGTGAATTTTTTCTGCTTCTGAGTAAGTGAGCTGCCAATGCTCAGCGGGTCTACAAAACCAGGTGAGCTGAAAGGAAGCTGTGCTTTCAACATGTTTGAACACCACTGCCCCAGGTGTGTGAGGAAATCCCTGATGGCATCAGACACCGAGCTCTTTCTACCTCCCTTGCCATGAAACTGCTCTAGACTGAGGGTGCTACCACCATGGGAATGGAAGAGTGACACTCCCATGCCTAGTTTTGAGCCTGTGGGTTTTTCCAGTGAAAAGATTCATCTAGGGAGTCATTCAGGTCACCTATTTTAGGCTGCAACTCTGAACTCTACTGTGGGGAAACTTCTCTCATTTATGGTGTACACAGAGTATCTAATGCCTCCTAAATAGGATGCATAAATACCCTACCCTACGCACCAAGAAAGGCAGAAAAGATCTGCCCATAAGAAACATCTCTTACCCTAATAAGTTGAGAACAACTGACTGACCAAACATAAAACAGGGAAATGTTTTTTTCATTTGAGATAATTTTTTCTTTTCAAATGTTTAGGTAGTGGTGGATAATCAATATGGGAAATAAACACATCTTTAAAACAAACTTGAACCCAGTAGTCCTATCACTGATGTGTATCCTTTCAGTGACAGTGCTGCTCAGTTCTTCTCAATTTCCCATTGTCATTGTTGATTTCCATTGCATAATTACTATATTATGGCATTTCTTAGACTGTGTCAAACAAAATATTGCAGGCAGAGAATACAGTTTTAGACTGCAATATGTATGTCAAATCCTCTCAAAAGCTAGAAATCTGCAATTACATACTGAAATATGGACTCACTTACCAACTGATATGGTCCAAACAGCAATTATTTTTGCAAAAGCCTTAGTTCTTGAGTTAAACTGGCTGTGATGGATGGGATTTCGAATGGCAATATAGCGATCCAGTGAGATGGCACAGAGGTGCATGATGGAGGCAGTGGAGAAGAGCACATCCAAGTAGATCCAAATGGCACAGAGCTTTGTAGGTAGAGGCCATGTGTATCCTGCACAAGAGAAAGTTGTCATCAGCTAAGAATGTGACATACTGACATCTTTTGTTGTGACACATATGTCTTAGTGCATGTATCCTTCTAGTAGAGGCTGGTAGTAAGTGATGCCTTCAACAGAAGCTGCCTGACACTGTTTTAAAAAACCTTTTTTATTTGCTTGCAACCTTCTAACTGTAACTTTTGAGAATAACTCTGCTTCTTTCCCAGGCTACAAGCAGTGTATATTTTTTTCTTTTTAATTATATTTGCATAATGCTAATACTTGATGTTATAATTAACCATTTCTGGCAGCAAATCTATGGAAAGAGAAGCAATTTTGTCATTGTAAACCTGCAAGTTCTCAGTTTTGTTTTAGGACTTTTTATCTACATAATGACTGCATTATTAACACCTGCTGATATGCAAAGCTACCTAAATTCTGAAACTGAAACTTTAGATTTTGTGGCAGCTGAAGAAAGAAAGGTATTTTGTTGCATAGCAGTGATATATATCTCACCTCCTTAGGTACCTACCACATAGTTAAATAAGGATATTCCCTGTATCAATGAATATTGATAGGCTCCTCCAGAGAGAGCAATCCAAAGCAAATGCATTAGTGTTTAGCAATATCCAATCTACCTCTTCTTTGCTGCAAATTAAGCCTCCCCTTTTCCCTTTTCTTTCCACTAGCCATGAAGAATAACTGATTGCTGTCCTTTCTGGAAGCTATTGGAAGATGGCTATCATGTCTTGCCTAGTTTTTTCTTTTTCTCTTACAGACTAAGCAAAGCCAATTACTTTATCTTTTACTTACAGATGATACTTTTAAAACTTTTGCGCTTATTGTTTCTCTGCCCTGGAAGCTATTTAATTTATCCACATCTTGCTTATCGTTCGGTGACCAAAACAGGACTCAGTACTCTTGTAAAGGCCTCCCGACTGCTAAGTGAAATACACGATTGCTTCATCCGTCTTGCAGAGAATGTCCTTACTTGCACAACCTGGAATGATGAGTGCCTTTTGTATAAAAATATCATACTAATGACACATGCTTAGCTTATGATAATTTTGACAGACAGATCTTGTTCAGCATTCCTGAAGCCTGGACAAATTTCCCCAGCAGTAGTTGGTTTGCTATCTTTATCACCACGGAATGTTATTTGTTCATTTCAGACTTTCTCTTCAGGGGTCCAGATGATTGTTGATGATTCTGATCCTGTCCCTCTGAATGCTTGTAGCCTCTTCCAGCTTGGTGTTTTCGGAAAGGTGTGTAAGCTCATACTCTATGCACAAGATTTGCAACAGCAGGAGCAGAAGGAGGGGCAGAGGAGCTAGGTCTGTGCCTAATTAAACTTAGTCTCAGTAAGCACTGGGGAGACCTATTTCTTGGTGCTCTTGGACTGCTGTAATATGAGCTGACCCTGACAAGTCATACAGCATTTATGGATATGTTTTATCTTGTTTTCTGGTCTTCCAATGAGGGATCCAATCTCTGGAGTGTGTGTTCCACGAGGGCTGGCTTTCAGGGGCAACGTCTTCCCAGCAGCATCTCTCTGTCAGGCCAGGACAGTTTACACAGAGAAAAGCGATAAAGTATTTTTACACTTGACAACATGCATCTGTTCTCTTGCTTTGGTGACCTTTGGGAACACATTTGTCATATCCCTCTAGGCCTCTTGTCCTTGCTCTAAACCCGGATGGGGCAGGGATAAAACAGCATCCATCAGATAAGCTACTTTGGAGACTACAGGGAAAGTACAGAGCCAACTGTAGGTGCCATAAGAGTTAGGAAGGGTGTAGATAACATCCTCCAGGCAGGCCTTCGGACATTTTATGTGGCATATGACGCAGGGCAGCTTTGCCTTGGGCTGTGCTCTGGCCACTGTCCGATTCACCCCTCCACACGTCCAAGAGGAAACAAAACAAAACAAAACAAAACATGGCTGCAATTTAAAGAGTGGGTAGGCAGGGAAAGTTTTACAAGGTGTTTCATGTTGTCAATGTGAGCTCATGAAGTCCAGGAGCTCATATTGGGGAGTCCCATCCAAGGGACAGGCAAGTGTTGCTTGTGCATCTGTGCATTTTCAGGTTGAGAGGCTGAGAGGGAGGTCAGGCAGAGGAGATAAGATTTCCTTCCTGATGTAGCCAGTTAATAGTATCCAGGAGATGAGAAATGCTTTCTCACAAGGCCTTTCAGGCGAGGAGGCAAACAAGTGAAGCTGGCCAGGATGGCTGGGCTGCTGCGTGTTGGTAACAGGAGGTACAGGGAAAATGTTCTGAGTGAAGGCCTAAGGAAATGCTGCGAAGGGAGGGGAGGGGAGAGGGAGGGGGAGGAGGAGAGTCCATAGGCACGGGCAGTTGCTGAGAAGGCCCTGTGCACCATCCTGCCCTGTCAGAAGCACATCAGCCAAGGCCATGTCTAAGGTCAACATTCGGCTGGTCAGGAGCCCTCTAAAATGCCTGGTCCTTCCACTGCAGCAGGGAGTCACCCAGCATCTGCCAATAATCCCAACAGCTTCTCCATGCAGGCATGGGGCAAGTCTCTGAGGCAGGAGCAATAGGCATCTGGCACGCAATGCATGTTTGGGTGGGAACCAATGGTGGTGTTCAACTCTGTGAATTTTCTGTTCTGTGGGCATGTCCACCTTGGTGGATGTCTTTTTTCTTCCAGTGGAGGCTCATGCCTTTGGGTAGATGGAGAAGCCTGCCTGGCCCAAAGGGTGCAGTCTGGGCAAATATGTGGCTGGTGTGGCCAGGGCATTTGAACAGGGATTGTCCACAGTAGCCATAAAGCTCTCAAGAAGGAAATCATCTCTCTCTGGAGCAAAACAGTCACAATTCCCCTTTAAAGGGCTGCAGGGCAGGTGGTGGAGCACCCTTGTTCTGCAGCCTTGGAGAAACCCTGGCAGAGCGAGGCAGATGCAAAGACCCCCAGTTTGGGCTCAGGACAGTCTACACAGGTGATGTGGCTGATGTTGGCTGCATCCTGGCCTTCCTCTGGGTGGCTGAGGCTAAGCAAACGCTCCTGCATAAGGGCAAGTTTCCCTCTGCACTGGTCATCCTGGAGGTTGATGGTGCACCATGCCAGGACAGCTCTTCTGGCACCTGCGTGCACCGCCAGATGATTTTTCACCCCAAGTTACCCTGAAAAGACCTCCCCTTCTTGACCTTGCAAGGGAAAAAGCGGGGAGAGAGGAGGCAAAGCCTGCACACTCCCTCCCTCGTGGCTTTGGGTGCCCTGCTGCTCCTCCGCGCCAGCGGTGGCCAAGGAGGGCGGCGCAGCCGCCCACCCGCGGGGAGGGTCGCGGCTCTGCTGCGTGCAGGAAATCCCGCATCCCAACCTCCGAACCACTTCCGAGCCGCGGATTTCGGGCGCCTCTTTCCTCGCAGCGGAGCCCGGCCAGCAGGAGTCCCTGTTGCATGTCTCAGGGAATCACGCAGGATTTTAAAGGGTTTTGCTAATCTCGCGCATCGGACAGTTTCTGCTCCCGCGGCTCTGTTCTACGCCGTTTTCTCCATGTGTGGGAGAAACACCACAAACACAATAAATCACAACATTATGCCATCACTGATGCCCCATACAGGTTGCAAATGCTACTGAGGGCAGTCTGTGTAGCAATACTGCAACTGGGAAATAAACTTCCAGTTTTCTGGATGAAAACCCTCTTAAGTCACAGGCTCATGCTTGGACCTTTAGTCCCAAAATAGTGAAGCAACAGAAATCTTTGCAAACAACCTCACTTTCCTCCTGACATTGTCTGGCTTCTCCTTGAACTGTATTCAGTTGTGGCACTGGAAAACTCATTTCTCGAAGTTTAGGGATACAACAGGCTGACAATATTGGTACTGAACACATAGGCTGCTGCTTTTTTCTACGTGAGCTGTGCTGCAAGTGATTTTGGTGAAAATGAGAAGAAAGATCTGCTATTAATCACCTACAAAGGTATGAACTGTGAGTCATCATTCACTTAACTCTTAAATAACTTCTCTTAAGAAATCATAGCTTTGCATGTGTGTCACTAAAAATTAGGCAGAATTATTTTCCATCCTTTTTTTAACTCTTATAATATTTATTCCAGCATTTGCTGGTAAGTAGATGTCTAAGCAGGGTATTTGTGTTAAGAAAATTATTTATATTTGTATTACTTCATTAAAAATATTGAAGGGGTTGTCTACTTGCATCTCAAGATAGTCATTAGTGCCTCTGTGCATATTTGCAGAGCAAAGTAACTGGCAGGACCTTACATTCTCATTAGGAATATCGAAAATTATGAGCCAGGGGAAAAAGCTGAAAGAATAGACAGAACAAAACGTTTTCAAGTACACTTTGAGACAATTCATCCAGCAACTGAGTAATAAACTAATGTTCTGAACTGTGTTTAAAATGCCTGTAAATAGAAATATAAAGTAGGAAGAGATTTAAGTACTTCACCTATTCTTACATCCATTAACCAATTACATATATTTCAACTTGTGTGGAGTGATTACAGTTTTTTGTTGTAAGAGAATGAAATAATAATAACAACAACATATGCATGCAATGTTTAAGTCTTCCCAATACATGCAGTAGGTTCCACAGCTTATACTCACCGTACAGTATGGTTAACATTGACACAGGCATGACAAGGAAACCCAGCAGCATATCAGCTATTGCAAGTGACATTAGAAAATAGTTAGTGGCATTCTGTAGTTTTTTCTCCAGCGACACAGCCATGATGACAAGAATATTCCCAGCAATAGTTAAAACAATCACTATCACTGTCAGCAAAGCTGGCCAGTTTTTCTGTGAATGCTGAAACAGGGAAGGGTAGCACGGTGTGCTCATGTTACTTTCACACGAAAGATTGGTTAGGTTTTCAGAATCCACAGTCAAGTTAAAGAGATGCGATAGATTAATCTCTCCAGCTCCATAAACATTTCTGTAGAGTCTTCTCTCATGATTTATTTGTATTAAGGAGTTTGCAGTTGGGTTCACAGAACTCTCCTCATCACAAAGAATATCCATTGCTAAGTCCGAAACTGGTGAGATAAGTAGTGAAAAATAGGAAATTATCACCCTTTGTCACCATCAGGCTTTATATTCCTCAGCTGTCCATGCCAGAAGTTGAGGGAGAACAATCTTTTGTCGACTGTATTTTTGCCACTACCGTGATGTAGAAAAACATACCAGAATTACTCTGAAAGCTGAAATGTTTTGTTTTCAATTCCATAGGAAGTCCAGGGTTGGCATACATTGAAAATCCAGCTGAAAAGCAAAACCAAGCTGTAGGATAGAGAATGTGGACTTGAGGCTTCAGAGAGCAAAAATGTTGGAGAAATAAAAGAGAAAAAAACTTTTGCAACCACTAGGACTCCCCTCTGGAGCTACATCTTATTGCTGTTGGTAACTGTAATCATACAATTTTAAACACAGCAGTATTAAAATAGCTTGCCATACAAACCAGCAGAGCTCTTGCTTCCTTATTAAGAAAGTTGATTAAAGATTCCATCTAGCATCTTTCTCTTGAAATAATTAGATATGCACTTATTTATAGTTCATCTTCCTTAATATGGCTGATAGTCTCTGACTTCTGTTGTATTTCAGCATCATTTTCAGCCTCATATTAGAGATTACACATTCTGCCCCATGCTGATTTTCTAGCTAATTGTACCTTTCGGCCCAGCCTGGCTTCAAAATGGAAATTAAGCAACTAGGTAGTATGATAAAAAAACCCACAATTTAAGGAAGACTTACATTGCACTTCGGAGCCCCCTCTCAAACGGCAGTTAGGTGCACTTTGTACCCTGATTTACCATATTCTTCACTGTGTTTAGCCAGTTTTGCGTCCTTTTTCTTCAGCCTCCTCCAAAATGGTGGTATTTGGAATAGTTTTTTGACTTCTAAACTGCATACTTGAGTGAAGCCAGTTCCTGTGCTGCAAGGCTTGCTCTTTTCTTCTGAGAGATAGGCTGCTTGCTGACTCTTTCCTTGTGCATTTCCCCGCCCCAGGGCAAGCTATATTTAAAGTAATAATAATATCAGAGCCCTGCGCGAAGTGACACAAAAGAAAGCACACACACGAAAAAGCTGCCCTCACGGAGGAATTACTGATTTCAACAGGGATGGAATTTCTTGCTCGCTGCCTTGTTCGGTTTGTCAGACCTCCCACTATCTGGATGTCATAAACTGCAAGGTAGCAACGGCAGGGGAGGGCAAACCAAAGAGGGTTTTCTTGGTAAGCTGGCAGCTTTTGCAGTGTGTATTTCAGAGGTCCTCTGCTTAGGTGCTTTTTCAATCCACACTCTCCATTTGCAGAGGATGGCTTGCAAACACAGCTGCATGCAATTACAGCGTTTTAGAGGATGCAGGCTTTAAAAGAGACAAAATCTCTAAGGCTCACGATGGTAGATACTAGTGAAAAATGTAAGTGTGAAGCTTTTCCCATGTAGAGGGGAAATTATGCCAGCCTTAAAAGGAAGCAGTAATATTCAGTCCCCTTCAGTTTTAACTCCAGGTCTGTGCTGACACGTTAATCAAATTGGCAATAGATATTTATAAAAAATTGAAGTCACTCTGACGTCACGCTTATTTGTCAGGAGGTGGCTGTAACTCAGCAGCCTGTCCCAAGCAAGTGTCCCACATGAAGCAGTTCAGGAGAGCAAAAGGGTGTACAGCAGAGGGGGAAACAAAACAGCCTTCCACCGTTTCTGCCTCGTACTTCTGCTGCCCGGACACGCATGAAGAAGTAGCCAACTCTTCAATTTGCCACCTAAGGTAAAACCTACTCCCAGATTTTCGGAGACTTACGGTTGTCAAATATTTCAGCTGAGCTGCTCCCCTGCCTGTCCTGAAATACTATGAAATGGAGGGGGGGGCTGCAAACACATGGAGAGTTGCTACAGCTCAGGTGATGTGCTGATCTCTTCAGGGGTCAAAACCTTATCAAAGCAAGTCTCAGAGCACCTGCCAAAGCCCATCCAGATCACTGAGGCACTGTTACCGAAAGCCTTTCATGGCAAAGTTCCTTTGGAGCCCAGACTAACAGTCGTCATGGCAGGATGGAGCAGCCAGGCAGCCAGGCAGTAGCTTCTACTGATGCCCACATGGGAGTTAGAAATGAGTCATTCCAGTACTTAAATTTCCCAATCCTATAGGCGAGGCCAGAAGACTACCAGGCAACACAAGTTGCTAAAAAAGGCTGATAATGCTGAGTTTAGCAAGAAATGTTTCAGTCCTGGCAGTCCTGTCGGGGAGCCAGAAGAGGCACTCTCCCTCGCTCCTTTAATATGATAACCAAATGGGTTACTGTGTTCACCAAGTGAATTTGGCATCCATTGCTCCAGGGGGTTCAGCAGCCGTCCCCTTGAAGATACCCTTGACACGGGAGTGCAGATCTGCTGCAGAGGTAGGGTTCCACTTCAGTTGAACACGGCTACTGTGCTACAAAACGGGGCACAAGACCCCTTGGCTGGAGCAACATATAATCCTTTGTGAGGAACCAAGGTGTCCGCTTATTTTCTTAGATAGCTCCTTCTGGGCTCTAATGACTCTAATGTAAGTCAGGGGCGGGAGGTACTTTTTTTCAGGTGAATACCCAAAATGTGCGGTCAGAGGCTGTAGCTGCCAGCAAAGCCCAGTTTGATCAAGCAGAGCTGCGCACCTTTGTCCCACTCCAAGGATGGGATGGAGGTTTAAGACCTGGTTTTCTACTTTCCCAAGTGAATATGTTAAGAAATAGGCTGTGTGTAAAAGGCTTGTGAATTCTGCTTTCATGTCTACTGCTCCCTGTAGATCTGAAGCAGATGTCTAAAGGATCTTCCTGTTCCTTACAGAGTAGCTTCATCTCCCCTTCACTGCAGTGACGTGACTTTCACTCAGGTACTTTATCCTTCCTCTGCTCCAATGACTATAGCTCTACTCTGGACATGAGGAACATGAAAGGTAAATGCAAACAGGCTGAACGTTGCCCAAGACCTTTGCAGGTACAGTCATAAGCTCTTCAGATAGGCACTGCACCATTTCCTTTGGTCTTAGCTGTAGACGTATCACTACGAGGTCCGAGTGCTTTCTGAACTCTACTCTGTCCCCCCCGAAAACTATTTGACATACGTGAAAGTGAGGCACAGGCAGGTAAAATGTCTTTTTTAGATTTGTACATGAAATGTGGATGAGTCAGAAACCACTTTTGTCTAGCCCAGTATGTCAAATCCGTGCTCTTACGATGTCTTCTGGCAAAGTATATTGGATACGCTACTGAGCACAAGTATATTGTATTATTTATCTCAGGATTTTTTTTGGCTGCAAAACCCACCCTCCCGCCTCCTGGCAAGCACCTGAAAATGGCTTGCTTTCCATATAGTATCATTACAGTATCAAACAACAAAACAGTGTCCAGCCTTCCTGTGCTGAACCCAGTGAAAGGAGGGTACCAGGGCTTCCACAGATGCTCTCGTCCTCTTGCAGAACTGAGTGTGTGCTCTGCCTTGAGAGAACAGTGAGGTACAACTCCTAGATGGTTAGTCATGTCTAAAGCCAGCCCATATTGCTCTTCCTAAAGGTGAGTAGCTCTGGAAAACTGTAGGTCCCATGATCTTTCATTTTTAAGCAAGCTTGCACTCCAGTAGCAGCAGAGCCTCACGCGCTGTGACCTGCAATCCCAGGCAGTGTGTCTGCTCTAAAAAGGGACAGCTGCAGTCTGTCCCAGTCTATGTAAATTAAGTGAAATCTTAGCCTAAAATGGTGATAATGTGGTCTGCATTAGACATAAAACATTCTTTAGAAGGATAGCTGGGACTGGAACAGTCTACATATTACTTTTTAATTTCTGGAAGGCACCAACATATCAGATACATGAGAGTCTCTCCTCTGTGCCCTAGCTCTACTTGGAAATGTTGTAGGACATTAATCTGTCCTTTTGGACTGGGCTTTTATGCTTGACATGGTGCACATAACTGCTCCCTAGAAATGCTGCTTTTCAACAATTTCATCTGAAAGAGGAGAAGTGAAAAACCTAGTTTACATAGCTCAAATTTGGTGTTCTCAGGATTATTTCAGGTATAAAAATCCCAGGTTTCAGAGTTCACCATTGCCCTCCTTGATATTTGAGTGGCTTGTGTAATCAGTAAATGTATAAACTGCAGAGGTTAATCATTCACTCTGACATCTAAGAGTGAGGCAAGTGGAATGTGAATAATTTGTGTTGTGGTCGAGACTACTACTGTTTGGTATGTCTGTTTACATTTACCAGGGGCTGTTGGAGCAGTTAATACTGTGGTGTCTCAAGACATGAATCAGAGCCTAGCTATTACAAACCGGAACTAATAACTAAACAACGCTGCTCTCGTTTCGATGCATGCTCCATAGTCAAGCTCATTCCGGATCTCTTGACCCTCTTGACCCATGCCATTGCAGTGAGGTGAGAACAGGTTGACACGACCTTTCCAAAATCCACACAGGACCAGCATCCCTCAACCTTGCTGTCCACAGGTGATGATCCTGAGCAAGCTGGGTGTTGCGGCACCAGCACCCTGTGTCCTCCCGTGGGCCACAGGTCGGGATGACTGAAAACCTGTGGTGAGTAACTGGTGTGTTCTTGTGGGGGTCTCTGCTGTGAAACTGGCTGTCTGTATGGGTTTGGTCTGGACAGCTTTTGAATGAAAACTGAATGTTAGGGGAAGGTGGAATAACCCAGCTGAACTATAGTTTCTAAGTGTAATATACTAAGCAATCTGTAATAAGAAAATACATATCATATATACATAAAAATAACTGAAACTCTTAAAACTTTCATGTCTATCCCACAAGCAGATGCTAGTTTCAGTCTCTGTTCAATCCCAGCTGAAGTTGTTGTTTGGTTTTAAAAGCCTGATTGTCTCATTCATTCACGAGTTTTGGAAAGTGATTTGTAGGGTGTCCTCCTTTCTAACCACACGTTATTCTTTCAGCCTCTGCAGGTTCCTCCGCATACTTACAGTCCCAACAAGAAGGTAAATGTGAGAGAGAATCTGGAGCACCTTAAGGCACATCTTTTATCTGCATTAACCTGTGCACTGAGATAGTAACATTGCACCTGCGACCCCTTTTTAGGTCGATATGATTCCAGTGATTCCATTGGAGCTCAATG